CCAGTATATCCATCTTTACTCTCACCAAAACCTGGCTAAAACCTGATACTACAGATGTCTATGCCATTCCTGGTTACACAGCCATACACAACTGTAGGCCAGATCAACAAGGGGGTGGCACAGCTGTATACTACTCAGACCAACTAGGATGTATCACTAATACTTGCACAAGGGATGAACATGGGGAATATATAATAGCTAAATTCAAATCCAAATACCTACAAAAACCTCTCACAGTGATAAACATCTACAGAGTACCACAGTCAAACATTAGCCATTTTAGTGAAAACCTAGGAAGTATGATAACTGATGCGTGCATGAATAAAGATCACTTACTACTCTCAGATGACTTCAATATAAATCTCCTGCAAGACCAGCACCCACAAGTTACTGAATTCACAAACACTATGAGTAACTGCTTCTTGCTACCAACAGTAACAACACCTACAAGAATTACAGAGACTAATGTTTCCCTACTTGACCACATCTGGACCAACACCATATCCCCTTTAAAATCAGGCATAATCACAGATAATACCACAGACCACTACCCTACCTTCCTCATAACTAATCTAGGCAAATTATCCCAAGACACTACTAAAGTCACTTTCAGACTTCACAATGAGGCAGCCATTAATAACTTCACAACAGCAGTGACAAACATTGACTGGCACACTGAGCTAGAAATCCATACAGATATTGATGAATGTATTAATAACTTTCTATAAAAGACCCAATACCTCTATAACAAGCACTGCCCTAAAAAACTAAACAGATGACAGCTAAGAGACTGAACAGCCCCTGGCTAACACCCAGCATCCTCAAATCCATAAATACAAAGCACCAATATGAAAAACAGTACAGAATGGGTCACATAACCAGAGACCGAACAAAACGTCACTCGTCAATCCTAACCAGCCTGATAAGAAGGGCTAAAAAATTGTATTATGAGAACAGATTATCCAACTTAACAGGTGATATAAAAAAGACCTGGAGAACCCTATCAGAAATTCTAGGAATAAAAAAGATATCACGAAAAAGCGAAATTGAACTAACAAAACCAGATGAACCCCAACTCTCACCAATGAAACAGCAGACTCAATGATTTCTTCTCCACCATAGGAAAAAACCTTGCCAATAAAATCCCAAGCTCAAATACCCCACCCAATGACTACCTCACTGGCAACTACCCGAACACACTGTCCCTAGCTCCGACTAACCCAACAGAAGTCTCCCTTATTATCAACACACTAAAAAACAAGATAGGAGATTTAAATACCTTACCACCCATTATATACAAAAAAGCATTGCAAGTGCTGTCACCAATCACTGCAACACTCTTTAACAAATCCATGAAATCCTCTACCTTCCCTACAGTTCTCAAAATAGCGAGGGTCACCCCGATCCATAAAGGAGGAGACCAAACAGACTTGAATAACTATAGGCCAATATCCAACTTACACTCTCTCTAAAATCTTTGAAAAATTAATCCATAAACGAATCTATTCCTACCTCATCTCCCACAACATACTCAACCCCTGTCAGGTTGGGTTCAGGCCTAATAAAAATACAAATTATGGTATTATACACATGCTAGAACAAATATACACTGCACTAGGGAAAAAAAAAGTACCACTGGGGATCTTCATTGATTTACGTAAAGCTTTTGATACAGTTGACCATGACTTGCTCCTCCACATCAAATTGTTGCACTATGGTATAAGAGGGTACTCCCTCAACTACCTAAAGTCATACTGCAGCAACACAAGCCAATATGTGTACACAAATGGAGCAAACTCTTCCGCACAACCAATTACAGTTGGTGTCCCTCAGGGAAGTGTCCTTGGCCCTCTTCTCTTTCTCGTTTACATAAATGACCTACCAAATGCATTGCAACTACTCAAACCCACACTATTTGCAGATGACACTACATACTTCTTCTCTCACCCGAGCCCAGTCATGCTAGCAATACTGTGAATACCGAATTACAGAAAATATCTACCTGGATGAGGACTAACAAACTTACTCTCAACATTGACAAAACCTGCTTCATTCAGTTTGGTAACAGAGCTACAGATGTCCCTTTTAACATAATGATAAACGGATCACCTATCACAAAGCTCACAGAGGGAAAATTCTTAGGAATCCACCTTGATAATAGACTCAAATTTCAAACACATATACAACAAATTTCCAAGAAAATTTCCAAGACCGTAGGCATACTATCGAAGATACAGTACTATGTTCCACAGTCAGCCCTCCTGGCCATATATCACTCATTATTTACCCCTATCTCACCTATGGAATTTGTGCATGGGGCTCAACAACAATAAACCATCTCAGACCATTAATTACCCAACAAAAGGCTGCAGTTAGAATAACAAATTCCCACTACAGGCAGCACACTCTACCAATATTCAAAACTCTAAACCTACTCACCATACAAAACATCCATACTTATTATTGTACCTACTACATACATAGAACACTTAACTTGAATATAAACCCTCTCCTCAAACGTCTCCTTACCAACCTCAACAGAACACATGACCATAACACAAGCACAGATCACTCTTTGATGTTCCTCGTGTCCATCTGACACTATGCAAAAACTCAATGCACATAAAAGGACCAAAAATCTGGAATTCATTACCTGTGAATATAAAAGAAACACTTTATAAATTCAAGTCTCTACTTAAAAATCACTTACTCACCCACAACTAAATAAATACTGAATAATTGTATCTCATAAATGTTTAACCTGTGACCCAATCAAACTTTGTTATTTTTAATTACATTACCTAACAGAATACTCCATTCTACTGAATGCACAGCAACATAGTAAATGACCATATGACCTGTCTTTGAAATACTCATTTGTGCTTAATTGTTATCTGTTTACTATAATGTTTACCACTGAATATATCATTGCATAGTTAATCTTAAGTTAATTTTAAGGCTGCCCATAATGCTCTGCATACAAGGGGCTTTGGCATGTTACACTTAACCACTGTACTATTTTTTGTACTTCAATGTATCATGTTCAAATAAATAAATAAAAATAAATAAATAAATAAATAATATAAAAAGTTTTTTTTTTTTTTCAAAATATTCGGGGCACTGGGGGAGAGAACGTATATATACGTTTGGATCATTTATGGGTTAAAAAGAATGAGGTAAATATATGAGTTTGTGCGATGAATAAATTGACTTGAATGACAGGCTTGACTGATTTACTGACTTATTTGACAAACTGACTTACTGACTTACTTGACTTACTGACTGACTAGACTGACTGACTTACTGACTTGACTGACCGACTGACTTTACTGACTACTTAACTGACTGACTTGCTGACTTATACTTTTTCACTGAAGAGGACCATGACAAATCTTGAAGCAGTGCTCTGAAACGGTGCCTAGAGCAGCTGATGCCTTACCGTCAGTTGTATAATGTAGTGCAGGATAAAACAGAACAGAAATCAATTACAGAATTTAAGCACCCTCCAATACAACCATCGACTTCAGTACCAGAACCTCTACCATCCACCTTAGCCCAGTAGGGCCAAAACATAACTCTCCACTCTCTTCACAATCATCAACAAACACCAGCACCCACAATTTATGGTAAGAAATACTAGTTTCTATTGCATTTGTAGTATTAAGCAGCAAAAACAACATAATACATCACAACAATGAACTACAATTCCATATTCACTTTAATTTTTGTAAGATCTGGAGGACTAAAAAAAAAAGTTGTTGGGTTTTTTGGGGCCCCCAGGAGCCTAACATTATTTTTCCCATAAGTTCTTCAGTTTATCTAACATGGATTTACCTAACATGGCATTGTCAGGAATGTAACTACCATGTAATATAACAGTCTACTGTACGTAAGAGTTAGATGATAAGGGTATCCAGTGAGTTAGGTAAAGAAAAAATTGGATATCACATTGGAGGGAGGAAATATGGATGAAGTGAATGTATTCAGATATTAAGGAGTAGATTTGTGGACAAATGGGTTTATGAAGCATGAGGTTAACCATGGAACTGATGAAGGAAAAAAGGTGAGTGGTGCATTGAGGTACCTGTGCAGACAAAAAAACATTATTCATGAGGTAAAGAAGGGAATGTATGAGTATAGTGGTATCAACACTTTTATATGGGTGTGAAGCATGGGTTGTAAATGCTACAGCAGGGAGGAGGCTGGAGGCAGTGGAGTTGTCGTGTCTGAGGGCAATGTGTGGTGTAAATATTATGAAGAGAATTTGTAGCTTGGAAATCAGGAGCAGTGGAGTTACTAAAAGTATTATTCAAGGAGGGCTGAAGAGGGGTTATTGAGGTAGTTTGGTAATTTAGAGGTTGGAGCAAAATAGGATGGCTTTGGAAAGTGTATAAATCTGTAGTGGGAGGAGGGGTATGGGTCATCCTAGGAAAGGATGGAGGGAGGGGGTAAAAGAGGTTTTATGTTTAAGGAGTGAATGGATACGAATGGTTTTTGGGACCTGACAAGCTGTTGGAATGTGAGCAGGGTAATATTTTGTGAAGGGATTCAGGGAAACCGCTTAGCTGAACGTGAGTCCTGGAAGTGTGTTTGGGATATTGGCAGTTTGGAGGGACATCTAAAGTGTCGTACCTGAGTGCCTCTTCAAAGACAGTGATTATATATGAGTGATTGTGAAAGCGTTGAATGATGAAAGCTTTCTTTTTTCTTTTTGGGTTTTTCTTTCTTTTTGGGTCACAATGCCCCAGTGGGAAACGGCCGACGTGTTAAAAAAAAAACTTAATTTACATTCCTAATCTAGCTTAATTATATAATTTTACTCTAGACTGCATCGTGCCTTGGTTCCAAAAACATGGTTCTTTGATGGCAACATAATACTGTCTGTGACTTGTGAATTTAGAAAGCCAGCCACAGATAATAATCATTAAATTACAAAATATAGCTCATGGATGTACAATAAATGGACAAAATAATTAAAATGAACAGCACAAGTGTGTTACCTCAATGGAGTGTATTAATTCCAGGTATTTTAGATTTTTGATACGAGTAAAGGCTTTCTTGGCTATGTAGTATTCGAGTCCCTGGAGTGCTGCTTTAGCCAGAGCCTCCCAGTCTCCATCAGTAACACCCAGGCAAGCTATCTCATATGCCTCTCTGCAATACACATTTGTAAGTATAAAGACAAAGTATACACAAAAATTTAGTACGACACAGATTAAAGTTACAGTTTCTATGTTAGTTTTGGGGAAATTAATTTTAAGGTGAAAGAATGAAATTACAGGATTATGTTCCAGAAAATTGGCACATAACTTACATAACACAAAATGAAGAACATTTGAGGGAAAACAGGGTTAGGCTCCAAATATTAAGAATTTGAACCCAGAACCTATTGGTTATTAACTGAATGTTCTCTCTTCTCTCTCTCTTCACTTTCTTCACCCTTACACTGAATCCAGACTGTAAACTAACTCTTAACACAGCCATGATTCTTCAGAGTGACTAAGCAGAGTACAGTACATAAACTAGCACATGCGTCTATCAACACTGCGTAAGTGGAAAGTACAGTGTCTGCACTTTGAAGGAGCTGTGAGGGTGTTGCAGCTCACTAAGTCAGTTAAACTTTAGTGTCTATGCACTTTTGGAAAGAGTAATAGTAACTGTGTTGCCTTCTTGGGATCACCTTATATTAGTGGGAGATGGCTAACATGGTAAAAAGAACTTACTTGTAGAGTTTCTTGTCCAAGTACTGGTACATGGGAGCTGACTGGGGAACTTCAATTGTGGACATACTGTAGATATGTAGGCAAAAGATTTTACTGCCACTGAAGCCAACTACAAAACCCTAGAACAAAATCAATCACATATACATTATTATGAATTCAATTTATGTAACTGAGATATATATATCACATATTAGAGTGCACGAGGGTGACACAGGTGTTTACAAGATAGGTATACAGAGGTGGACACCCAAGAATAAGTCTGCGAAATACTACTGTAATCAAAATTCAATTAATGAACACTTTGCATGAAACTTTATTACATTAAGTACAAACTGCACTCAGAAGTCTAGATCCATTACAAAAACAAACATCTTAAGAGACAAGAACATATATTTGATGTAAAGTTACTTAACGTTTTCACTGTCGAGACCCCTGCTCACAAACTTGTTCTCAGAGTCGAAGAATTAAAAAAAAATTATTTTTTCTTATGAAATGATAGAGAGTTTTTTTCCAGATGGAAATGACACCAAAAGCATGAAATTACACTGAAAACTTACGGAATTATGCTCTAGCGAAGTTAGAGCTCTCAGCAATATATACGTATCAGCGATTTCGAACACACTGAGCCCTATCTTCGGCCAATTCCATTGTTCCAGTAGACCAAACTTATTGCTGTTTTGCTAGAACTCCATGTGTTCTAACGATTGAGTACAAGAAACCATCCATTTACCAATTTCAACTACCCAATAAAGTGGTCAGAAATTGGTAATTTAGCCAATTTCACACAAATTTCAAGACACCAATTCCAAAATAGAGTCCAGAATGAACAATGGAGACATTCCTGGCACTAAAATAACATTTTCTATGGTCATTAGTCATGTCTCCAGAACCCTCTTATATTACTCTTGCTTTCCATTTTGAATTTTTATTCACACATAAAATAGAAGATTTACTGTTATGCAGACTACTGCATTATTGTAATAACTGTATAAATAATGTCAACCCATTCATGACCACATATTAGACTGGCTAGTTGGACACGTATTGGACGGTAACGTCATTTGTTTACTCATGAACATCAGCAAAAATCGAACATTTCTGCTACCTTGAGCTCAATTTCAAAGTACTTTTCATCGTGAAACCAATCAAAAATGATTTCTATTTCTGTAAATTTATCTTCCATTCTATCAAATGAGATTAAGAAAATGAGAATACAACCATAAATACAGTGGACCCTCAGGTAACGGCAGCATTGGCTAATGCCAAAATCGAATAGTGGCACGTTTATGGATTTAAAACATTGGCTCAGCTAATGCCCAAGAACCCAGTTAAGGACATTTGTCCCGAACGTGTACACTGGGCCTGAGCCCATGTAAAGCCAGTGTGCCATTGTTTACAAGCCAGGGAGGATGATTCCATGTGTGCATGCATATATTTTGCATTATTCCATTGTTTTTAGTGTTTGTAACTGCTAAATAAGCCACCACGTGCCCAAAGAAAGCTTCTAGTGCCAGCCCTGTGGTAAGGAAGGAAAGAAGCACAACAGAATTCAAGAAAATACTCGTAGCAAAGTACCAAAGTAGAGGAGAAAGAGAGAGGGGAGAATGTGCCTTCTGCAGTGATTCAGTGATTCTACAATATGTACGATACTAAAGCAGCAGGCATCGATAAAGGCTATAGTGCCAGCCAGCGATAAAGTGTAGAATTAACAGTGTAGAAAGTAAGTTAAGTGAGCAAGCGATAGGAAAACGACACGAAAGTAACTCTTCAATGTTGCTGGATGTGTATTGGGCCAATGAACATATCGCGCCCTGCTACATATCTTCCACAGTGCTAAACTTCTGCCAGCATCTCCTCCATCAAACTTACAAATTAAACTAACATCTCCTCCAAGGTAAGTGTAAATATAAAAGGACCCCAATGGAAATATAAGTCACACTGACGTTTTTGGGTTACCCTAGGTACTTTACACATATGTTGCTATGTATGATAATCTATGTACATAACTGTATACTTGAATAAATTTATTTACTTATTTATAAATTAAAATATATATATATATTTTTTTTAACAAGTCGGCCGTCTCCCACCGAGGCAGGGTGACCCAAAAAGAAAGAAAATCCCCAAAAGAAATAGTTTCATCATCATTCAACACTTTCACCTCACTCACACATAATCACTGTTTTTGCAGAGGTTCTCAGAACACAATAGTTTAGAAGCATATACGTATAAAGATACACAACACATCCTTCCAAACTGCCAATATCACGAATCCCTCCTTTAGAGTGCAGGCATTGTACTTCCCATTTCCAGGACTCAAGTCCAGCTATATAAAAATAACTGGTTTCCCTGAATCCCTTCATTAAATATTACCCTGCTCACACTCAAACAGATCATCAAGTCCCAAATACCATTCGTCTCCATTCACTCCTATCGAACACACTCACGCACGCCTGCTGGAAGTCAAAGCCCCTCACCCACAAAACCTCCCTTACCACTTCCTTCCAACCTTCTCGAGGACAACAACTACCCCACCTTCCTTCCCCGACAGATTTAAACGCTCTCCATGTCATTCTACTTTGATCCATTCTCTCTAAATGACCAAACCACCTCAACAACCCCTCTTCAGCCCTCTGACTAATACTTTTATTAACTCCACACCTTCTCCTAATTTCCACACTCTGAATTTTCTGCATAATATTTACACCACACATTGCCCTTAGACAGGACATCTTCACTGCCTCCAACTGCCTCCTCGCTGCTGCATTCACAACCAAGCTTCACACCCATATAAGAGTGTTGGTACTACTATACTTTCATATATTCCCTTCTTTGCATCCATAGATAACGTTTTTTGTCTCCACATATACCTCAATGCACCACTCACCTCTTTTTCCCTCATCAATTCCATGATTAACCTCATCCTTCATAAATTCATCTGCCGACACGTCAACTCCCAAGTATCTGAAAACATTCACTTCTTCCATACTCCTCCACAATTTGATATCCAATATTTCTTTATCTAAATCATTTGATACCCTCATCACCTTACTCTTTTCTATGTTCACTTTCAACATTCTACCTTTACACACACTCCCAAATTCGTCCACTAACCTTTGCAATTTTTCTTTAGAATCTCCCATAAGCACAGTATCATCAACAAAAAGCAACTGTGTCAATTCCCATTTTGTATTTGAGTCCCCATAATTTAATCCCACCCCTCTCCGAACACTCTAGCATTTACTTCTTTTACAACCCCATCTATAAATATATTAAACAACCATGGTGACATTACACATCCTGTCTAAGACCTACTTTTACGGGAAGTAGTCTCCTCTCTTCTACACACCCTACATGAGCCTCACTATCCTCATAAAAACTCTTTACAGCATTTAGTAACTTACCACTTATTCCATATACATGGAACATCTGCCACATTGCTCCTCTATCCACTCTATCATATGCCTTTTCTAAACCTATAAATGCAATAAAAACTTCCCTACCTTTATCTAAATAATGTTCACATATATGCTTCAATGTAAACACTTGATCTGCACATCCCCTAACACTCTAAAACCTCCTTGCTCATCTGCAATCCTACATTCTGTCTTACTTTTAATTCTTTCAATTATACCCCTACCGTACACTTTTCCTGGTATACTCAGTAAACTTATTCCTCTATAATTTTTACAATCTCTTATGTTCCCCTTCCCTTTATATAAAGGGACTATACATGCTCTATGCCAATCCCTAGGTACCTTCCCCTCTTTCATACATTTATTAAATGAAAATGCCAACCACTCCAACAATATATCCCCTCCTGCTTTTAACATTTCTGTCATGATCCCGGCAGTTCCAGCTGCTTTACCCCATTTCATTCTATGTGATGCCTCACGCACCTCCCCACACTCACATCCTGTTCTTCTTCCCTCCTAATAGATGGTATACCTCCCTGGCCAGTGCATGAAATTACCGCCTCCCTTTCTTCATTCCTCAAAATATTCTCGCCACCTACCCAAAACCTCCATCTCCCCATCTACTAACTCCCCTACTCTGTTTTTAACTGACAAATCCATTCGTTCCCCAAGCTTTCTTAACTTGTTTAAGTCACTTCAAATTTTCTTATTTTCATAAAAATTCTTGACAGGTGCCTCTCCCACTCTATCATCGCTCTCCTTTTGATTCTCTCACACTACTCTTCACTTTTCTATTACTCTCATATACTCTTACTCTTCTTTACTAACAGCTTCTGCCTTGTAAACCCTTTCATAGCCTAACTTTTTCTCTTTTATGACACCTTTACTTCATAATCCACCAGTCACTCCACGTTATCTGCCCCACACTCCTTAACCACAAACTCTGCCACCACATTCTAATATGTATTTTTAATAACTATTCCAACCTCTTCAACCCCCCCCACTACTCATTACTTGCACTGTCCCACTTTCTGCCAATAGTGCTTACATTGCTCCGAACTTCCTCCTTACTTGTTTATAACTTTACCGCCCTCTACTTGTTGTGCATTTCCTCTTTTCCAACTACCTTTACTTTAACTGTAGCTACGACTAAATAATGATCCGATATATCAGTTGCCCCTCAATAAACATGTACAACCTGGAGCCTAAGTATGAACCTTTTATCCACCAATACATAATCTAACAAACTACTTTCATTACATGCTATATCATACCTTGCATATTTATTTATTCTTTCTTTATAAAATATTTATTACTTATTACCAACCCTCTTTCTACACATAGCTCAATTAAAGGCTCCCCATTTTCATTTACCCCTGGCACCCCAAATTTACCTACTACACCCTCTACAACATTTTTGCCCGCTTAGCATTGAAATCCCCAACCACCATTACTCTCACACTTGGTTCAAAACTCCCCTTGCATTCATTCAAAATTTCCCAAAATCTCTCTCTCTCCTCTACACTTCTCTCTTCTACAGGTGCATATAAGCTTACTATAACCCACTTTTCACATCCAACCTTTATTTTACTCCACATAATCCTTGAATACATTTATAGTCCCTCTTTTCCTGTCATAACTTATCCTTCAACATTATTGCTACTCCTTCTTTAGCCCAAACTCTATTTGAAACCCCTGACCTA